CATTATCTTTGGAGAGGTTTTTGCTATAGGGACAGGTGCTCACCAGAGAGAGACACAGAGAGATAGAGAAAGCAAAGCAAGAAAACAAGTCACCCAGGTCTGGGACTTGATCCACAGTCGGCCATGCGGGAGTCTAGCGCATTAACCACCACACACCTGCTGGCCCTATATCCGTAATATTAAAGCCCTAACCTCCAGGACCTCCGAATGCACTGTATTTGGAGAGAGTACTTTGAAAGAGGTCATGAAAGTTAACTGAGGTCAAAGCGTAGAGACCTAATCCAGTGTAAGTGGTGTCCTGATGAGAGCCATCGGGGATGCTCCCACACAAAGAAAAGGCCACGTGGGGACAGAGGGAGAAGGCAGCGGTCTCTAAGCCAGAGAGACAGGCCTCCAGGGAGACTAAACTTGCTAAGACTTGGTTGTTTTTGGTTTTTTTTTTAAGAATTTTTTTGCTATAGAACACATGCGCTCGCCAGAGACAGAGAAAAAAAGTGAGTGAGAAATTACCACCACCACCACCCCCAGGAGGATGGCCATGCCACAATCCCTTCTCCATTCTCCTCTCGGCATGCACATGTGCCCAGCATGTTTTAAGCTGCTGGGTCCAGGATTCAAACCGCAGTCAACTACTTGGGAGTCCAGCAACGTAACTATTTAGCTATATGCTGGTCCCTGTTCTTTATTTTTGACTTCTAGACTCCAGAACTGTGAGAAAATAAATGTCTGTTCCTTAGGCCTTCCTGTGTGGGGCACTTTGTTATCGCAGCCAGAGCAGACTAATACAAGAACACACCAGCAGACCTACAAACACAGCAGGAGGGTGAGGTTCAACAGTATTTCTGTTCCAGTATAGACAAGGCCATAACTGAAGGCTTTTTCTGCAAGAGGGTTCCTCGGCCCACAGAGATGTCAGTGTGCAGTCTGAAAAAGCTGGAGACAGCACACATTCAACCTCCATTGCCACTCCAGCTCAAGTGCTACCTGGAAAACACACAGACTACCTCAGGTGACACCATACTCCCCTTCTCCCAAACTGCAACTTTCAACAAGTGCTACTTTATACCAATAATTGCTTTAAAAAAAAAAAAATAGGAGTTAGACCCTCTGCAAAGACAAGAGCTGGAAGTCTCTCACTCTTGTGTATTTCCCAAACACAAGCTCATAGCTGGGCACACCATTCATTGATTTCTTCAGTCAACCAAAACTTACTGGGGGACCTACTCTGTGCCAGGCGCCCAAGCCAGGCACTGTGAACAAGGCAGGCACAGAACCCCCCCAAAAAACACTTGCATTCTAGCCAGGGAGACTGACACTAACACAGGACACAAGTCATGACGACTGGGTGTGCACTACAAAGGGCCACAAGACACATTTGCTTGCTCCCGCGCACACCGGTCGGCCGGGTACAAAGCCTCCTCCCCAGCCACACGCAAAGATGACCTTGTCCCCCTCAATGCTCCATAAAGTCAACCGGCCGGACTCCCACGCCCCCATTACAGATCAGATCCAGTCACAGCAGAGTATCAGTAAATATGCAGGGTCTGCACCAAGTGCAAGGCCAAACACCGCAGGCCGGCCACCCATGCAAAGGATGCTCCCGCCAGGCTGGGGTGGAGCTGGAGAAGGGCCTCCATTCTCAGAGCAACCGGAGGGCGGGAGACAGGGAGGCACAGGTGGCCCCCCCGGAGCTCCGGGACCAGGCGATCCTCTCTACTGAGCCTTCACGCTGTCTTCTCCGGCGCGATCCGGGCCTGAGGACTGTCACGGAACCGGCGCTCTACCGGGAGGCAGGTTCTTCCCGCTGCGCCAGCCCCCACCCCATCAGCTCCCTGGCCCCCCCAAGCCACCCCCGGAGGACCCTTCCCTCCTCAGCCCCTACACCAGGGTCCTCAAACCCCGAGTCGAGGTCGGACCTCGGCCGCCCAGCCTCCGCACTGCGGCGGCGGGGAGCTGGCGGGTCTCCGCGCCCCTCAGAACCAGCCCGGCCCGGGGGCGGAGTCACGTACCCAGGCGAACAGCGCGGCTGCGGCGGGGGGGGGGCGCGGGGGGGGCGGGGGCCGCTCCCACTGGG